GTCACATCACGGACACAAGTTCACCTTACCCAGTTTCACCCAGCGCTCAGCTCTACAGCCGACAAGCACCAGAGTCACCACAAGTGGGAAATACCGTAAAGTACCGGGCACAGCTTCAGCCCAGCTCTCCCACCCGCTTGCAGGAACCGCTCTGCATCAGGGAAGTTCAAGCTTCAGCTGCTTTCCTATGTAGCCAACAGTCATGAAGCCCTGCAGATTTGTACCCAAGAAACTAACAATTTGAGATTCTCTCCCCTCCGCCCCCAACCAAGGGAAAAGGCACTCTGTTCCCCAGCTATGCAAATTTCCTTTCTTTTGCACAGCGGGTAAATACTAAGCAACAATTTGAGATAGATGATTAATTTACCAGCGATTTAGGGCAAGCTACATATGGCTGGAAAACCAAACCCTGTGAACAAAGCCCTCTGCCACTTCCACTGGGATCAGGTGAATGAGAGCAGGACAAAATTGGACAGCAAAGCTGTTTTGGGAGGTAGTTCCTCCCTGTGTGTCAAACAGAACAAGTATTCACCAGGCACAGAAGACAAGTCATCAAAATGTTTCACACATAAATTGTTATTTTTTTTTTTTTTTTTTCCTTCTGTCTGTATGGTTAGCAAAGGGAAGCAACGATGAGAAACAAAATCTTCCAACTGGTAGAGCTCATCCCCTCACATCACATTTCTATCAAAAATGGCAAAATGCAAGTGTGACTCCAGCTTCTAGGCAATTTCTCAAGTTAAAATCAGTTAGTCAAAAGCTTATGGAGCTGTTTATTCTCTTGACACCTGCAAAAGCTCAGGAGCTGCCTCATTTCAACACACTTGTTTCCAGGTACTGACCAGGTATTCTACCACTGCAGCAGTGTGACACCTGGAAGTTTCAATAGAAAATTCCTACCTCAAGTGATTTCAAAGGATTCTGTTAGCTTTAGACCTTTATTTTAAAAATGTGTTTGGTTTAAGGAAATGTATTTTAAAACAATAACTTACAATGTTAAATAAAAAAAATAAAAAATAATAGGATGCACTCAATTCCATTACCTGTCAGCACCTTGATCTAAATACCATCGTTCAATGATGGCTGTCAAAGAAGGTGTAATTTCCATGGGTTTTGCCCACAAAACCAAACTAAATTTGGAATCATGCTATTTACAGGCAGATGCTGCCAAGACCCAAGGACCTTGTCAAGGGAGGAAGGACTCTTAGACAGGGGTCAGGCCCTGCCTCAAGTGCTGATTTCTGCCTGCAGCCTGCCAAGGCATCTTCCACACTGGGAACTCCGGAGACAGCTGATGGACCTCCACACAGAGCAGATTTCGACATGTATGACACTAATGTTATGAGCAGTTATGAGCTCTGACTTCTAAATGTGTGCTAGTTCTATATCATACAGTGACATATGACTGGTCTCTCACCTGATGGTCCAGAAAAGCTCTACAAGGAGCCTGCTGAATCACCACCACGGTGTGGCCACGGGAAGCAGAGGGGAGCAACACAGTCCACATCACAGAACAAGTCTCTGGCTAAGGATTTAGAAATAAATCCGCCCTGCCCGACTCCCAGGCTTGCGCTGAGGCCACCAGGCACACCTGGCTCAGAGACAACCACTAGGGACAAATCCATGCATTGTGTCTGCCTCATTCTTGGTTTAGAGCAAATAACTCAAAACTACCTCTGTCCAATTATCCAGACTCACTCCTCCCAGTCACTAAATCCCTCAAAGCCTGACCTTGCCCTGACTGTCCTGTGTCTGTCCCCAAGACGTGCCTTGGGAAAACCATCACCAAAATAGTGAAATACAGCAAATTCCCTCCTGCCTCCAGGCTCAGCGCCACCGGAATGACCCCAGACCTGTGGCCAGAGGGAAAAGAAATTTCACATGAATAAATATTGCCTATCACCCATTCCCTAAAAGACCTGAAACCAAGACGAAAGAAAAGATATCTCCCTGCACATCTCAGACCTTTGTCTCCGCCCTGCACTTGCCTGGACAGGAGGGCCCCAGCACAAGCACAGACTAAATGCAGAAGTAACTAACTTCCTCTCCTCCAGCAACACACTCAAGGCACAAAGCTTATCTAGAAACAACATCTAAAGAAAAGAACACACCGTAGACGAGTAAAAGGCAGAAGCAGAGCACCATCAGCCACACTATGAATCGATCCAGGAACAATCGGTATGCCAGGCAAGCGTGCCGACGCACAAGCAAGGTGGCTCTGCTGTACAGCAAGATGGAAACTTCAGGGGCCTGCAGACTGGTGCAGAGCAAGAAACCCCAGATCCGGTCACACACAGAGTCAGGGTTTCAAGGTGTGGTTAAACCTGCAGACTGCCACCTCCACATTTGCGCCAACACAGGGACGCATGTGCATTCTTCTCTCTCCAGCAGGAAGAGTGCCTGGGTACAGGCTTGTAATGAATGAGCATTTTTGACACACACTATTAACCTCCGTACATGTAATATTTTCTAATGGATGCAGCTGCAATACCATAGCAGTCACCCGGGAGCTCTCTCTTCCCAGTGTGGTGCCTGTGCTCTGGGGAAACTTGTTGCATTAAACGATCAGGCTCAGGAAAAATAAAAAAAGCCTGTGAGCAGCTTGGCTATCCTGCAAGGCTGTGCAGTCTGTGAGGTTATTTTATGAAAAAAAAACAACAATCAAACAACAAACAAAAAACTTGAGCAAGAAGTCAACCGAGAGGGGAAAGCAGAGGAAATGGTGTCTGTCAAAGTTCTGCACACAGAAGGCTAACAGCTTTGAAAGCCACTGGAGGAAAAGGCGACACAGAAGTCACCTGCCTGGGGAGTCCCTTCCCAGCTGCAGCCTGGGCCCTGTTCTTTGAAGCGCCAGGGCAGGCTCCACCCCAGAGATAACACCACCGAGCTTTGCTTCTCAAGCTTTGTCTCTGTACAAAGGTACCCAATGCAGACAGCAAGGCAAGCCCACAGGTAGCTCAGCTGCAGATAAGGATGTTTATACGAAGGGACTCTCTTCTGAGTTAAGCTGTGCTCAGATAAGCACTTTTACAGCTCCGGTACAACACTCGCGTTAAAATAACCACTGGCTCCCCAGGGACTGAGCTGTCCCAGTCAGAGATGCAAGTGCAAACCAGCCCCCAAACCTATCTCCCGAGGCCAGGCCACCCACCAGCCTGGCCCCACCAGGGGCCGTGGCAGACCCATGGACCTGCATCCCTCCTGCTCAGGAAAGCAAAGGGGGGCAGGCTGGAATCTGCTCCCCACCCCCAAAGCAAAAGGCTGAGGCCACGGCTCCCCCCACAGGCTTCCTGTTCCTCGGCTCCCCCCACACATTCTGTACCAGCGCTGGCACCACGCTGGGCCCCTTCTGTTGAAGGGTGCTTTACCCAAAACAAACATCGCTGCAAATCCACCTTTCCCCTCTTCCCAATTACCTCCTTGCCCAGGCTCGACTCCCCCAGCCCGCCTCAACACTACAATCCCCAATACCTTCCACAGCTTCCTCCTCCCCTGGCTCACCAAGCTGCCCTAGCACTAACCTCCTCCCTCCCCCCCCCAGTTCTACCTCTCCGACTTTGCCTCCTCATCCCCAAGCCCTGCCCTTCCGCCTGAGCTCGGACCAATTCCCCCACCCTCATCCCAGTTACCCTCTCCCAGCAACCGACCCCAGGTCCCCTCACCCTGCATCCTGCCCCGGCTCTTCCCCCATCTCTCCCCAGACCCCCATCCTACCTCAGTGCCACCCCCCAGGCCCCCATCCTAC